ATTATATGGTTAAGAGGAAAATCTTTTATGCTCTGCTGTAAAGAGTTCTGATGAGCGCTTTGTGCGTTGTGGCAAAGGTGGAAACACTGATTTCATCTGTGCGAAAATTACTTAAGGCTCTTATTTTGAAGTTTTACGAGTTGCATCTGATGGGGACTGAAATATTGAATTTTATCTGGAATATGCCTGCACATTCTGATGAAGCCTCCTGAAGCTTTATGGGTTTATTTGAAATATTTCCTTGGCTATCATTAAAGTAAAATTCAGTGTGTTCTTTTTTTTTTTTTTTAACATGCCATGTGGTTTTCTGTATTTCATGTTGCAGGCAATGCTCAGAATAAATGTGTTGCAGAGGATCATATTGCTGTTGGAGTTCATTAGTTGTAAAAATAGATCCTGTTGATCTTGTGTGCTTTATAAAACATGATGGGTCTCGGTTTCCTTTAAAAGCACAGGGGTTGTAAACATGCAACAAAATGATAAAAATCCTGTTCTTCTGTTACTTCTGCTTTGTTCTGTTTAGACTAGAAGCTGTAAATAACAATGCTAAAAACAAAGCAATGAAAAATAGTGAGCCAGAACTTTGGGACAAGCAGTTAACTGCATTCACACCCACATGAAGTTTAGTTTGCATGTCAAAATAAGACACCCTGAATCCTAAATTAGAATGTGCACCTAGATACGTGCATCGAAACAAGAAGATAAGTGTATTAAGTTCTGTTAGGCAATTCCAGTTTAGGTGTTTTTCACCCGTTGGTCAACCTGAACATATATTTGATTATTGACTTATCACTTAATGATAATTACGCTGTGCCAGAGTTGAAGATGAACAGAGAGGCGAGCTGTGGCTCAGAAGGGAGCACAGGAGGTGAGGCTGGCGGACACCCTTGTGCGGGGCAGCCCTGTCCTCCACTCCCACCCTCTGGGCCCAGCCTCTGCTGCAGCCTCAGAGAGCAGGTACGCATCAAGGGCTCTTTTCCACCACACAGGGCCCTTGCAAAATCTGAGTGGATGAGCTCCTCCTGCCCTTTCCCCATGCCCTCGGGCAGCGAGGGAAGGAGCAGGGAGGGGCTGCTGCGCTGCGGAGCATTTGGGCGTACTTACCCCATCTGCTGTACAGCACTTCCCAGCACCCGCGCAAGCCCTCCCATCGTGCCGTAGTGGTTTTACCCCACTCCTGCAGCCTGTGGCTGCCCACCCAGGTCTTCTGTAATGCCCTTCCTGTGTCCTGACCCGTCCTTCTGAGAGCAAAGGGTGCTCAGAAGCCCAAGTAGGTAATTAAATGCCAATTGCTTTTGCTGACTGCCCTGGAGGCAAAATTGAAGGGTTTGAACTTGCCCCCCTTGGGATGTGCCTGTTGCTTATGTGCAGAGGTCAGGCACAGGCAGAGGGTGTGCAGACAGTGCAGAAACTGCAGCTTGGCAGACCTGCACTAACTTTTAATCAGCGTCCTTGGTATGGCTAGCACCGCTGAAAGATCCCGTGGAGTTTGTGGCAGGCTGCTGAGCAAATCTTTACCCTGCTCCTCACAAAAGTTGTTCTGCTTAAGCTCACCTCTTTGCTGCCTTGGTGATGCTGGTAACGGTACGGAGGTATTAGGTGCCTTAGGTATATCTGCATCAGCCGCAGTCACTGCAAGGTAAACACACCCTAGATTTTGGTTAACTTAAGCGATTAAGTTAAGGCCTAACTAGAGAGTCAGTTCTACGAGCAGATGTAAATGCCTTTTCTGGAATAGCATAGCTGGGCTTGCTGATCATCTGGTTTATTGTCTGTGCGCTGTTTGAAATTCTTAAGCACTTTTGTTGGGTACAGTCTTGCTTTTGTGAATCGCTGATGTGTATGCCAGTGTTCAGTAGTCCCATTCCTTTTCACTGTTTTCACTAGGCATAATGATAAACAGTGTCTTAAGCTATTCCGAGTTCATTCTTTTGACTTGAACTTGGTGTGTGGCAGTGACTGTAGATAAAGGTTATTAATGCAAATGTATTAATACAAAAGGTATGATACTGTGACTTTTAAAATATTTTAGGCCTCCTAGTTTTGATTAAATTCATGTGTTTACAAGTGAAAAGACTGCTGCATCGACTGCACGAAAAGAATTCCCCATGATTTCAGCGGTACAAGAGCAAGCCTTTAGAGTTTTATATACTTGTTTGGAAGTCACATTGCCTACTCTTATCAATGTAACCCTTAGTGAGGTCTCCCTGAAACAGGACCTGACCATGATTTTATTTCCTCTCTGTTGACTACCGCTCTAGTATCTGAAATTTTGAATGTTGAAAAACTAGAAATTTTTCTAGATTAACATTTTAGATTAGAAATATGTTTTATTTCTGCTCATTCTCCTTCCCTGCTCAGGCTTTGTTGCTTTCATGTCTGATTGACCATGGGGTTTTTAAGTTTTCATAATACCATTTTTTTTCTTCCAGAGTATTGCATTGTTTTTGTAGCATTTTTTTAAATCTTGTATGTAGAATTGATGGATATGTTGTATAAAAATGTTACAGTCCTACCCTTCCTGTTGTCTCATTTTGACATTTTTTTTCTAGAGATGTCGAGCAACAGAGCAGATTATGTCCGTTCTCTAACCTGGCTTGGCCTAATATAAAATGATAGAGAGAGGCTGTAGCAATCAGTGCTCAGACTGCTCAGGCGGTTGTACCCGTTGTATAGCATAGAAGCGATCACCTCTTATTCTTGTTTACAGCAGTAACAGAGAGTTGCAGCAATAATGTTTCAGATTACTTCTCTTGTCTTAGGTTTTCTACCCTAGCAAAGATGGTACTAAGATCCCAATGTTTATTATTCACAAGAAAGGAATTAAATTGGATGGTTCTCATCCTGCCTTCTTGTATGGATATGGAGGCTTCAACATCTCGATTACACCAAGCTACAGGTAAGCAGAGTAACTTAATACCTTCTTCTGAAACATCCAGTGTTAACTGCTGTTACAGACAGGAGCGGGTAGGCTATGCGTCTGGCAGAGTAATGCAGTTGAGATCTCTTAGAAATAAGATGAGGTCCAAAAGGACTGTACATCAGGGTTTAGGCATCTTTTATCTGCTTTATTAGTTCTGAATTCAAGGGACTTTCCTGGGGTCACAGAAGAGGTCTGTGTCAGAGAAGGGAATGTAAACCTTGCTCTCCTGAGGCACAGCGAGCACCCCAGCCTTTGGATTACAGCTGAACCTCTTCCTGCTTTGTCAGTGAGCTCAGCAGAGAAGCTTATAGCCCTATTACGTTAAACAGGTATTTAAACCCTCTGCTAAACTGATAACATAGGAGGTTTGCTTTTTACTGAGTTATACAATTACCTATGTCTAAACATTAAAAATAATTTAAATATTTGCTTTTATATGAATAATTAAAATTTAGCTATGTTTTAATACTATACTTTTGAGGAGATTAAGTCAGAAGCAAAATCATACTGTGTTCCTATATAATCAGTAAAGAGGGAAGATGAGATTGTCTTGAAGTGTGTATGATATGGGCTCTGTATATACAAAGCAATGTATTGTAAACCGGAAATGCTGTGTGCAAAACAGCATTTGTAGTCCTCAAAAACCATAAACTTTATTGAATAGATCATCTCTTAAAAGCAAAGGCTTATTTCCTCAGCAATGGAATTTATATAGACTTAACCAAAAGTTGCACTGATTGTCTTAGAGCTTTAATATATAGCAAATACTCCTAGGCAAGATGGGAAGACAGAAATACAAAGCACAGAATGGAGAGGAGTTCTTCAAATAGTATAGAAGAGCAGCTCACCAGCACAAAAATAATCTATTATTAAACCAGTCAATTAAGTATGCACGCTATCAGTCTTGCTTTCGAGTCAGCACATTTCAAGAAATCCTTTGTAGCACTTGCTCTTCCAGGGCACTGTGATTATATTTCTAAGTAGCGTTTACAGTATACGGTCCTCTGTAGCAAATACCTTGTCTAATAATGGACCTCCCTTCCTGCATCCTAATGATTATTTGAAAGGTTTTCATCTGCCTTATAAAGCTACATTTTTAATTTCCTGTGGTTTTTGTGAGACACGATTATATAGCCAGAATGGTTTTTAAATTCCTTTTTAGATTAGGCTCAAGCACTGATTTATTACAGTTTATTGTCGATGCTGAAAACTGTGATAAAACACACTATTTTTTCTTTTTCAAAGTACGTATCATTTATCCATTGATTTAGGATAAAATTTCACATACTGCAGGGAGGATACAAGGGCTGGCTGCTGGCAAAAAGAGGAAAAAGGTGTCTCATGATCCTTCCTTCCACTTCCCTTCCACTGGCCTTAATGCTTGCTGGAACCTTTGCTATGCTGATTTAAGTCACAAAAATGGCAGAAAAATATCCCAGCAAAAAGGACAGCGTGGCTTCCTGCCATTTTGTCAAGTCAAAAATTGACCCTCACAGGAATCCAACAAGCATGAGAGCCAATACAAACAGCAGGAAAGTGCAGCTGATAGTCTGAAAAAAGAAAGATGGGAGGAGGAAGCAGTAAGCTATGCAAGTGGTTTCTTGAAACCGTAAAATACGGTTCGTAAAATAAGAGCGTGAGTCTCTAACAGTCCCTTAAAAGTAAATACACAGAGAACTACCAGTCACCTGCAGATCAAAATGCAGTGTCCCACTGGCAACATAAATAACACATAGATTGACTGGACCTCCCTTCTCGTTCTCTCTCTGTGATATCCCTTCTCAGCCCTTCTGCCCAAGCCAAAGCCTTGGAATCTATCTTTGTGGTTAATATACTCGAAGATTTGTATACTTGGGTAGGAAATGTATTCCAAAAGTAGGCAGGCAAGGTCGAGGAAGGGAAATTGTAACAGAGCGGTTATCCAGAAAGGCAGAACTCCCAGCTCCCCTGTTACCTACAATAGGCCGGAGATTCAGGAGGTGTTCGACTGGGTCCCTGTGGAGTACACACTGCAATGCTCCGCAAGTAGTTCCCAGGTCCAAGTGCTGCTGCAGTCAAACACCACGATTCTTTCATTGTCTGTAGACGCACAGGCACAAGGGCTGGAAAGGAGCCACAGGATGGTCAAAGCTGGGACCTGACACACGGTTCACCTGATCCTGAGCTGAGACATAGTTACTGAAGTGCAACGGAGCAGTCCAGTAGCCTGCTCATCTTTAAATAAACAAAAGCAATCCCAGCCCTTTCTTTCTCTGGAAATAGTCCTGATTTTTATTTGAACTTACAGCTCTTGTAACTTTTCACAAGGCATTCTACTTCTCCTTTCCGGTGATTCTGTATTTCCTCAAGTCAGTAAAATGTTCCCTGGCTCATATTTTGTACCCATTAATATGAGCCGGTTCACTGGCTTGGGAAGCATATTTCTGCTTAATTCAGAAACTAATGTTGCTTTTTATTTATTTGCTAACACAGAAAATAAAATCTTTTTTTCCCTGAATGTGTTAGAAACAAATCAACAGTTAGGACAATCCAGAAATAACTACAAGGTGAATGATAGCCTCGAGTCATTAAGGCAGTTACCGTAGTGCTTTATTTTTGCATGCAAGCATACCTCTTTTTATGTGTTCCTCTGGACCGAATAGCTTATTTGATAGTGTTTTTAGTATAGTGCACACTAGAGCCCTATCAGTAATTATCCAGCCTGCACAGTGAGTGCAAGCTAAAACTGATGGAATTCACACCCATGGTTTGGCAGGGCTTCTGTGGAAACACTGCTGAAAATGCACCGGTAACGCCTCAGATTCTGTTAATTACCCTGCGGGAACCAACATGTTTCTCTTTATTGTTCTGTGTGTGCCTCTGTAGGTACCACAGAAATAATTTCTAATGCACCCTGAAATACAGCTGATTGTGAAACAGACTGTGAAATCATATTTTACTGCTACAGAGACAGATTCCACCAAGTCCTTAAGCAAGGATGTGGGGCAGGAAAGACTGTAAGCCCACAGAAAGGTCAGGCAAAATAGCAGCCACTGGTGCAGAGTGGAAGATCACTGTTGTCTGTTACTCTGTTACCGCTGCATCCTGCTCCACAAGAACCAAGAAAGCAACCAAGGTCAGTGACTCAAGTATTTTTTGCCACCACCGATGCGCTAACCAACATCTCTTCCCAAGAGGAAAGCTACAGCCGTTAGCTGTAATATTTGACAGCAGATCAGTAATTTGGGGGAAAAATTGTGCTCCCTGAAGCACAGCTCCTCATACTGCTCTAAAATGCGACAAACAACACCTGTTTTCTTTGTTCCTGATTTGTGCGTTATGCTCCTTAAGAAAAGGGTGAAAAGGTCAGGAAAGAGTTCTCCAGGGAAGGAGTTATCTTCCCCTCCCCACACTGGCTCCTTCCTGACCCTGTTGCCCTTTTCTTTACTCTTTTTCTTCGTCCTGCTCTCAGGAGAGAAGGAAAAACAGGGCAGATGAGAAAAAGCAGCAGTAGAGACTTTTGGGAGGAGCAGGGAACTGGACTTTCCCGTACATAACAAGGCGTTTCCTGGGCATTTGAGGGAAGCGGGCAGTTTGCTGTGACTTAGCCAGGAAGTTGACTTGAAATTAAACCTGGAAGCAAGAACCCTTCTGGAAGAACACAGTAGGCAGTAGCGGAGTTGTGTATGAACCTTGCATTTTTTGCTGTCTGATCACTTGGAATTTTCACTTTTTAAAAGTTAATGAGTCCAGATTGTGTTCTGATAAAACCTGGCCCTTTGGATTTAAAAAACGCTTTGGGGGAGCTCACGGTAAGTTTTTGGCAGATTCACCTCAAAACATCGATCTGATTAGGGTCCTGCCTCACTTTGCTGCTGCCCATACCCAACTGGCATAGCCTAGCCCTTAATTAATAGCCATTTGTAGTGACATTACTAGCTGTACGTGATGGGGTGACATTTTCAGAACTGCCTAAATCCCAGTAGCATTGCTGAAAGTAAGCACAGATAAACTAAGTATGCTTACTTAAAATTCAGGCAGTATAATGATTGTTACGAAACTGTGGGGTTTATCCACTGTTACTGAATCCCACTGAGGGTCTGTGTAGCAGAAAGAGT